TTTTTTGGGATGAGAAAAAGATTACAAACCGATACAAACTTGCACCTTGAAAAATAAATTAACTTAATATGCAAAAATACGAAAACAATCACTCATCAGTGACAAAAATTCAAGCTGCCTACAAAATACAATACGTCATTTGTAGCCGAGCATCTTAGAAAAGTAATTTTAAATATTTTTTTAAGAACAAACAAAGTGGATATTTCATTCTTTGAATCCCTAAAATCTCCTAACTTCACATTTTAAGAAAAACATTTTTTTACAAATGTTTTCTGTTGAAGGTTTTTTATTTAGTACAAACAACAAATAGCAACTTTGCTTCTTGTTAAATGTTTTTACCACGCTTTTCTCAGAATAATTTATTTTTAGAATTTTTTAGAATTTTTCACAGAATAAAACAAAATTTGGGGAAAATAAAAGAATTTATTTTTTGCATCTCTAATCCTTTCAATTTATTTAAAAAAGTTAGGATATTTTTTATATGATTCCACTCATCTAATATAAACTTGATAATGTTTTGGAAAATTATAAACTATACGTAATTTCATCATCACAGCTTATGTAAATAGATTAGAATTTCTGGTAAAAATATTGAGGTATTTTTATTGAGTTTATATTTACTTTATTTAATGATAATAGCATAGAATCAAAATATTGTAGCCATGGCCTGTAAGAAAAAAAATAGTTTTCCAGCAAAATAAGACGTTGATAATAACTTTGAAGAAAAAGAAGTTAGCTTAGAGTTATAAAAGATAAACTAAGTTACCAATATGAATTAGTTTTGTGTTTTTTTTCGACATTAGAAACATGTCCTTCTTACTTCTTATTATCTTGGAATAATTTGGAATCCAGAGGCTTCTAAATCGCAAAGTAGAACATAGAACATCAGGAACAAAATTCCCCGAATAATCAAATCTAAAAATAAATTAAAAATTCAATAAATGAATTTTATTGAAATAAAAATTCGTATTTTATGGAATTACAGAGTTCTTGGAACGAATCCAATTATTTATAACATATTTTTGTGTCTAGTTTATTCAAAGCTTCTTTTGGTTTTGTAACTTTTTATAAGCTTAACCTCGTTAGATAAAATCCTTTATATTATTTTGTTAATTCAAATAAATAAAAGGAGTCGATTACTATACCATTGTGATTAAATGCTTGCACGATGAGAGCAGAAATGTGTATTTTTTAAATTTGGTTGTATTAGGTAAAATATATTGTTTATTTGCTCCTAGGGCTAATTGGCAACTTTGTCTCCATGTGTATTTATGCTATATAACTATGTGTTTATGGTTTATTTTTAAACAAAAAACCCAGGATCAATTTTCTCCTTTCTAGGTAACTATTCAGAAATCGTGAGATGCGGTCTGGTGTGATGTAGTTTTTCAGAAAAATATTTTCTTTATCGTGCCAACATTTCGATCTTTATTCAGAAATCGAGAGATGCGGTCTGGATAATCCCGGTCACGATTTCTAAATAATTATCGATTATCGGTCACTAATCATCCCACGTTTCGATCTTTATTGAGATCATCTTCAGGGCTCAAAGTGTTTGTCTTCTGTGTAATTGTGCTATTCTTGCGTGTCGTGTTGAGAGTGCCACGACACGCAAGAATGGCACAATTACAGAAGACAAACATTTTGAGCCCTGAAGATGATCTCAATAAAGATCGAAACGTTGGCACGATAAAGAAAATTTTTATCTGAAACCTACATCACATCAGACCGCATCTCACGATTTCTGAATAATTATCGATTAACGGTCACTAATCACCACACATTTCTAGATAACTATTACTGTTTACTCGAGTGCGAATTATTAGCTAAAACCGAAATTCAAAGCGAGCTAACCTAAATATCGACACGGGCTTGTCTTCAGATAGTTGTCTGCCATAAAGGGTGTTGTTCTGTATAATTCCGACTGCGTAACCGCATCCCAGCTCGGTTTACTAGCCTCCGGGCGCTCAGACTTTAAATTGGTTGCTCTAGTTAACTGCCTGTTTCCAACTTCCTCAGTCCTTATACAACACTGCCCCTACACATAGTGAACGATTAATTATCCGCAAAATCTCTTTTTGCTTTGATTTTAGATGTTCATATTACAACAAAAAATTGAGACTTTAGATTTTATGACTTGGAAATTTTACTTAATGTTAACGAAAATTAAATTTAATTATGGAATACAAATTAGACAGGTTATAGAAAGTCGCACGTTTTGGGTCAAAAAATTTTTCGCTCCTTATACAGAATCAATTCCTGCGAACAACTTTCGATGATTAACAAGCATAATTAATCAATATTGCATCCTTCCTCTTTTCCAAACGAGCTAAATTGAATATGAACAAGGGCCAAAGTTTCGTAATCCATCTATCCAATGTTTTCACTCATCACCCGGACATATAAGACATACATGGGATCAATAATTCATGACGTCCTTGTCTTCCTTCTCACTTCTCCCGGACCTCCATAACGCAAAAACAAACAACAATTTCCGGATAAATAAGACTCCGTTATAATATTCTTGTTTTACAATCAACCACAGTCATCAAAATCCCAACAAAGTAAAACAAAGCCCTGCTGTTTCCTACGCATTGAAAGCATAACGGTAACGGGGAAAACATAAGCGAAACCTTTCACGTATTATCTACTATTTATTTCACCTTTAATTTCACGTCATTCAAGGTTCTCCTTCTTTATTTATTCAATAAAAGCCAGTGTTTCATATATCCATGACTCACTTCTCTATTCTCTCTGTACTCATAAAGTCTGTAATATTAACAAACACATTCTCTGATCTTTTAGCTGTATAAACATAATAACCTTCCAATTTTTTCAACTATCTAGGCCAACCCAAAAATCATTGCTTTTACGATATGCCCGCCATCTAGCTTTTAAACATCATCAATAAACCAGGAAAATTAAGTCCATGGTTTTATTAATTATTATTTTTTGTTTTATTTTTTTAGCGAGGATTGTCAGGCAGACCAAAAGTATAAGAAAGAAACAGATTTAACTCAGAAAAATCAAATCACATAAGTTTTACTCTTTGAAAAAGGTCTGCTTCAATCAAATACCCCTCCCATTTACGGACAAGTGCGGTACTCTAGGTTAGTGACATACTTATCTGACGCGAATCTTCACTAACGATTTAAACGAAAAGCAATGAAAACGTACTTTATCAGACTTCTTGGTAAATGCCCTAATTTACCATTCTTAAATAAAAGGCCATGTGGATTTCGGGTTGGAAGTGTTGGGTATAACCAAACAGTCCTCCGAATCCAAGCAGTCCAACGGCTCAGAAAAATCCCTGATGCTCTCATTTTCTTTACATACCTTTATTCTTTTTGTTCAAGATGTAATACACTCCCGTTATCTAGACGTTCATACCGTCCAACTAGCATAAATCCTTAAATGCTCTTATCCCAAAGAATGACCCATAGGAGTACCGACAACCAGTAGTTTCCCCACTTTTTTTAAACTTTATTTTATACGTGTGTGTAGAGATTAGTGACCGTTAATCGATAGTTATTCAGATATCGTGAGATGCGGTCGGGTGTGATGTAGGTTTCAGAAAAACATTTTCTTTATNTTCTTCACCTTTCTAAACTATGAAATGACTGGACTAGTTTCATATAATATCACAGACAGTAGAACTAAAAATACATGTGTAGAGATTAGTGACCGTTAATCGATAATTATTCAGATATCGTGAGATGCGGTCGGGTGTGATGTAGGTTTCAGAAAAACATTTTCTTTATCGTGCCAACGTTTCGATCTTTTATTGAGATCATCTTCAGGGCTTAAAGTGTTTGTCTTCTGTGTAATGGTGCCATCCTTGCGTGTCGGTTATTTTATACATTCGCTACAATTTTTATCCAATTGCAGCTAGTTGTAATATACAACAATCAAATAATACAAAACAAGACAACAGCCTGCACATAACCTCTACTCTCAGACGTCAAATAATGCCTCCACAATATCTACATCAAACAAAATCTTTTTATAATTAATCACGTCAGTTATTTATTTATTTATTTATTTACGGATCGAAATCCACTATAAAAAAAGACATTTTACAATAACAAATAATATAAATAATATATGTAAAAATACAAATAATATATATAAAAAGAATAAGGACGTATATACAAGATAATAATATAAATGGTAAATATAAATGATAAATATAAAAATACAATTAAAGAGCAAAAACTGAACAACAAAAATTAAAGACATAATTACTAACTAAATAAGGCAGAGGAAACAAAATAAATCTGAAAGACAATTGAAACTACAATAATTAGGTACATATTTAATGAAAATAATGCTCTTTGTAAATATATAATAAGACTAGAGTGCGAGAATTAGTTGAACCAGAAAATGAAATAAATTGTAATAATTTTGTACAGTATGAAATATAATAGCATTCAACTAAGGTTGTAGGATAAAGTTTTTCACAAATTGCACAGAACTATTGAAGAAGTCAATGCTATTGCAGATGTTGTTACTCTTGATCATCATTCTGTGTAGAGGAGAGAGCATGTAGTTAGAGCTTTGGAATTCAATATAAAATAATTTATAGGTTTTAAGAGGTGCGAAGAGACATGTAGCTGTAGTTGAGAGAGGAGATAAGGACTATCAATGAGATTGTTTAATAATTTAAATACAAAAACAATATCAATGTAATCCCTTCTTAGTGCCAATTCGAAAAGTTTAAGTTCAGAGCGGATTCCAGGGTAGGCAGAATTCGGAGGAAGATTGAGTTTGTAGGAAAGTTTTTTAAAATTTTTTGTACAGATTGAAGAATTTTTTGATAATTTAGATAGAATGGGTTCCAACGTATAAACTAAAAACGTTGGACAAACCATTTGATTATAGATGTCGACTGTTTTCTAAAGATCTTTGATACAAATATCGTTAAATTTGTCCATGAGTGCCATATAACTATTTGAGACGATAACTGTCTCTGGCCTGCTGCCCGGGGGCGGGGTGGTCCTTGTCTGGTTGCTGGGGGTGGCTCTGGTACATGGACATCGATAGCCGTCCCCGATCGGTTTGGAATGTGGGTGGCCAGGCACACACGCACATCCCACCAGGACGTACTTGAGTCAAATTGGAATTTGAGGTGGAGTCCCCTGGTGCCGCATTTTTCCCAGGTGCCGCAATTTTCCCCGGTGGGCGGGCTGGGGCTCTCTTCTTCCCGGGTGGAGGTGTGGTCTTTGCGCTAATAGTGAAAGGCAAAAAAAATTATATCCATTAGTTTCCTTAACAGTGTTGTGTGATCTACTTTATCAAAAGCTTTAGAAAAATCAGTATACACTGAGTCTACTTGGTGTCCAGAGTTTATTGCATCTAAGATGTAATTTTGAAATGTGAGCAGGTTAGTAACAGTTGATCTATTAGAACAGAAACCATGTTGCTGCGGTATAATAAAAGATTTAATGTCGTTTTTAAATTTATTACAAATAATAGAATCAAATATCTTGGAGAACATGGATTGAATAGATATTGGTCTGTAATTGAAAACATTATATCTATCGCCAGCTTTATGTAGAGGAATCACAAAAGTGCTTTTCCAAGCATTGGGGAAAATACCTGTTTTTAACGGCTGGTTCAGAATATAGTGTAAAGGAGCAATAAGAGCCGCAGAACACTCTTTAACTAATATAGGGGGTATGCAATCGGGACCAGAAGACTTTTTCACGTTGAGTAATGAGATAGAATTTAGTATTTCATTGTGTGAGATATAGTAATTAGAGATAGTGTGAGAAGATGGCGTAAGGAGAGAGATTGTTTCAGGAAGGGAAGTGGGAAGATCGGAACTATGGTCATAGACTTGGGAGAAATATTTAGCAAAGAGATTAGCAATGTCATGGCCACTAGATGAAGATTCATTTCCTAAACGCATGAAAGAGGGCATGGCTTTAGAAGTGCTGACAGAATTCACATAATTCCAAAACCTTTTTAGTATTAGATTGGATTGAGTTTTCTGTATCAAAAAGATAATTCTTATAGCAAATATTCGACAGTAGGATTTGCCAAAGTAAGACAGGATCATTTTTGAGACAGTGCTCAAGGATAATGTGAAATACCTGTAAATCCGGTAGTCAACGCTGCCAGGCGACGAGATATTTCCTGTTTGTTCAAGTTCGATTTCAAAGGGGAAAGGTGGACTTTAAAGATTGAAGCTCTCCCCTTTATGTCCGGGGCCGGAACGAATATTTGCCGGTCAAATCTTCCGGGCCTTAGAAGCGCTTTGTCAAGAATATCCACTCGGTTGGTTGCAGCAAGCACTACCACGTTCATGTGTTAAAACCTGTTGAAGAAAATCCACTATTTATTATACGAATATACGTCCACTTTATAACATAAACTTTATTAACAACATTAACATATATTAATTATCTACAAGTATAAAAGATGTTTGATGTAACAAAACTAATTTACCGTCCATTTCAACCAGTACTTGATTCAAGGTATTTTCCTGTTCGGAGTGTCCTCCAAAACTTTTCCCTCCTCTTTTGCGACCAACAGCATCAATTTCATCAATAAATAGATAGAATGGGTTCCAAACAGGTATAGCATATTCTAGTATGGGTTGTTCAAAAGCTTTATAAAGATGAACAAAACATAGAGGATTTTTAAATTCATAGGTGTTTCGGATGATGAAACCTAGATTCTTCATAGAACTATTTTTTATTGAAGAAATATGTTCTTTAAACTTGAGCTTTTGATCAAAAAGTACACCAAGATCCTTTACGACCTCAACTCGCGTTAAAAGAGCATCATGGAGAGTATAGAGATAAATAAAAGGTTGTTTCTTATGAGAGAATGTAATTGTGTAGCATTTGGAAACATTAAGAGCAAGTTTGTTATTAGAGCACCAGGTTTGCACGTTATTGATAGAATTTTGTAATTGTAAGCAATCAGAAGGAGAAGTGAGTATGGAATAGATTTTCATATCATCAGCAAATAATAAAAATTGAGGAGAAGGGAGAGAAAAGTGGATATCATTAATAAATAAGAGAAACAAAACTGGTCCAAGATGAAACCCTTGAGGGACTCCCGAGGAAGCCGCAAAGGGACATGATTTAAATGATTTTATTTTGATTATTTGTTTTCTGTCGGAGAGAAAGCTGGTCAGCCAATTCAAGATAGTTCCGGTGAAACCATAATCCATTAGTTTCCTTAACAATATTGTGTGATTTACTTTATCAAAAGCTTTAGAAAAATCAGTATACACTGAGTCTACTTGGTGTCCAGAGTTTATTGCATCTAAGATGTAATTTTGAAATGTGAGCAGGTTAGTAACAGTTGATCTATTAGAGCAGAAACCATGTTGCTGCGGTATAATAAAATATTTAATGTCGTTTTTAAGTTTATTACAAATAATAGAATCAAATATCTTGGAGAGCATGGATTGAATAGATCTAGGGGGCTAACCTACGGCTCGCGAACCACATGCGGCTCTTTGAAGGATTATTTGTGTCTCTCGAAAAATGTACCCGAGTTCCCTTTTCATTTTAGTGCTATTATATTTTTAAAAATTATTATCGTTCCGTATGTGTTTCAAAATGTCTTTTAAATTACTGACAACAAATATGAAAGACTAAGTGCAATGTTGTAACAAATTTCATTTCCGTCCAAGTTAAGAACGATATGACTCATCGAAAACTGCGCGAACGAACATAAACATGACCGACTTCAGACCGATTTTGAATTTATAAACTTTCATTGCCACGGACAGTTGACATTGTGCTCTGAAGGAAACAATTTGTATCACTCTTGCTACGGTAGTATGTAACACGTGTTGTTATTGTTTTAATAACACTAAACTTGTATTTTCTAAATTTCTTTATTCATTTCCAGTTCTTTTAAAAATATGACGACAGAGAACGAAAATAAAAAAAGAAAATACGAGCAAGAAAATAGAAGTTTTAATAACGAGTGGGAGGAGAATTTCTTTTTTATTGACAACAGCGGAAAAGCATTATGTGTTATTTGTAATTCCACGGTCATAAAAATTATAAAGCTAGCAATTTACGTCGACATTATGAAACCAATCATCCTCAGTTTTCTAATCAGTATTCACCAAATTACAAATTAAGATCAGATAAACTTGCTTCTTTAAAATCAAATTTAAATAAACAACAGTCAATTTTGATGACCTTTAGCAATCAAGCTAATAATGTAGCTGAAGCCAGTTTTGTTATTGCCTGGAATATTGCTCGTGCAAAACGCCCGTATAGAGAGGGAGAATTTATTTAAAAAAACTTGGAAGATATACTTAAAGTTTTAGGTCCAAATAATGCAGGATTGCACAAAGTTGTTTCGTAAATTCCCATCTCGAGACACACAACCGAACGACGGATAACTGCAATTTTTACATCTCTTGAATATAATTTAAAAAATGATTTGAAGAACTGTATTGCATTTAGCTTAGCCCTTGACGAATCGACAGATATCACAGATCTTCCGCAATTGGCAGTTTTCATACGTTTTGTTTCACTTGAGTTCGTTGTTAAAGAAGAATTATTAGATTTAGTAGCACTTCAAGAGTCAACCCGCGGTGTCGATATTAAAAATGCATTAGATTCCATAATGAAAACTTTTGATGTGCCTCTTAATAAACTTGTAAGCATTGCAACTGATGGAGCTCCGGCAATGCTGGGTAAAAAAATCGGTCTTATTGGGCTTTTAAGAGATGCTTCTCAAATTCCACAATTCATACCGATTCACTGCATAATTCACCGAGAACATCTTGTTACAAAATATTTAAAATATCCTGATGTTATGAAAACAGTGTTACACATTGTAAATTACATTCGCACCAATGCAAAAAATCATCGACAATTCAAAAATTTCCTTGAAGAATTAAAGGACGAAGAACTTCAAAATGACATTAATTTCTTTTGCATTGTTAGATGGTTATCTAGCTGCAACGTATTAAATCGTTTTGTAGATTTGTTTGATCCGATAACTGCATTTCTAAAAGAAAAGGAAATAACATATTCAGAATTAGACGCTGACGAGTGTTACAAGACTTAATGTTTTTGACTGATGTCATGGAACATTTGCAAACACTGAATTTACAATTGCAGGGGAAAGATAAAATAATATCTGACCTCTCACAGTTTTCAAACTAAATTACAACTTTTTCAAAAGAACATTAAAAAGAAAACATTTTGTCATTTTCCTCGAATTAAAAAAATTTGTTCCAATATTAAACAAGAAAAACTCAACGAGTATATAAAAAAGCTAGAAGGAATATAGACGGAATTACAAAATAGATTTCAAGACTTGAAATATTTTAAATCGTCTCTTGATTTTTTTTTCTGAATCCATTTGAAATTAACATAATTCAAGGTGAGTTTTCCATTTCCAATATAATTATGACCCAAAAAGCATCTGGAGAATTAGAACTAATAGAGATGCAAGAAGATCAAGCTCTACAATTAAAATATAAGTCGACGTCGATTGCTGAATTTTGGAAATTTGTACCAGAATCGAAGTATCCTGAATTAAAAAAGGCTGCTTGTCGAATTATTTCAATATTCGGAACAACTTACTTATGTGAATCATTTTATTCCACTTTAAAATTCGTGAAATCCAAATCAGTATTAACTAACCAGCATCTCAAAGAATTATTGAGAAGTGCTGTCACCAATTATTCACCAAATTTTAAAGAATTATCAAGAGAAGTAAAATAAATGTGTTTAATTTTTAATATTTAAATTCAATATTTTGTATTTTTATTTATATGTTTTCAATAAATATAATTTCTGTAAAAAAAATTTTTAATACCTTTTTTGCATACCTTTTAAATACGTATTTAATTGCGGCTCGCGTAAAATTTCAAATTTTGAAAAATGGCTAGGATATCAAGGAGCTTGGGCACCCCTGGAATAGATATTGGTCTGTAATTGAAAGCATTAGATCTATCGCCAGCTTTATGTAGTGGAATGACAAAAGTTACTATGAATAATAGGGAATCCATATTAGAGAAAAAAGCAAGAACTAGGCATTACAATTCAATTTTTCTATTTCTAAACAAACGATAATAATGAGCTGATTATTTTATATATTTTAGAACGAATGATTTACTCAATCTTACATTTGCTGAATCTTTCAAAAACGGCCGAAGTTCCAGGGATTTACGTTGCTGATGACTATCCTTTTAACAAATAAATTATTAAGCATAAACAGGCGAATGCTTTTAAATGATTTTCAAAGCAAAAGGAAATCATTTGTATTAGAGATTCGGATGGTCATTGGTCGTTTTATTTCTCAGGATATTTGAAAAAAAAGGAGGCCATCAACATTTAACAATGTAAATGATTGATTCTGTTTACCTAATTGTTTCGCCCACTAAAGTATTTTCTATATTTAATGTTTAACTTATTTGTCTTGAATATTGCATAATATTTGAAGAAAAAAATTCATAAGAAATGAGTATATTACAAAAACGATCAATATCTGGTAACAAATAGAAACGGTCCTACATATAATTGGTCAAATAAGGAAGTGCCTGTTTAAAGTAATATTACAATATAAAATCATCAACCGTTGTTGAGCTTAAAAGGGATTCTAGAAATTATTAAACCGTTGGAAATAATAGCTTCCTACCGAGTGAGGGATTTAGCAATGGATTAGACTATTTCGCCAGGCGACCAGCAATTGAAAAAGCGAGCCCCTGATTTCCATTTGTATGTTTAGAGGTAATTCTAGAAATCCGGGACTTCAAAGGCCTTCGAATTCTCACGGTTCCGCGATTAGATTAGAGTCATGGAGAAGAATAAAAATCTGCAATTCTAAATTAATTCAACTGTTGGAAAATATTCAGTGCTTCCTTTGCAATCTTATAAATATAAATCTCTTGTGTCGTCTTTTATTCTTTTATCCTAAAAATAAACAAAAATATTTATTGTGATTGTTATTTTTTTGTGCAGTTTTTTATTTGTTATTGTTTTAATAACGTTAACCAACATTTCTATTTTTATAGGAAATATGATAGTATTACGTAATACCAACAGGATAATATGTCATTGGGTTGGTAAAAATTAATGCAGGTTTTGAAAATTCGTTTTATTTTTGCAGTTCTTTGTCATGTAAACAAACCAAAATCCTCAAATCTAAATTATGGATTGTCATAAATACATTTAATTGTTAATTTTTATATATATTATCTTTTATAATAGAATGGGAGAAAAGAAGGACTTGCGAAAGTAAATATGTCCAAACTAGATTTGGGTCAAATTTATTTGGACGAATTTCAACTTAGGCGAAGTGCGGTTGAAATCCGCCTATTTACCTCGGGCCCATCCCTCGCTCGGAAAGTGGTTTCCTTGTCAACTTATATGAGATACTATTCGCTCAAGGCTGGATGTTGAAACGTCAAGACGGCTTGGTCTTCTGCCGCATGTTATTACCGACGTCACACTGTTTATCTCGGTTTATTTCACCCTTTGAGTTAATTTGAATTGTCCTCGTTTTATGATGACCCGCCATTTCGACAATTTTCTAAAAATCTAGACCCTTAAATAATTATCTTTGACTTAATAACTATGACAGTTGATCATTCTCAACTAACCTTTTTCATAAATTTAATCATTAAAATGTAAATATGGTAAAGTTCATAATAACAATTATCAGCGTTGTAACTTCCAAATATTGCCCATTCATGATTAAATGACTGCATTTAAATAGTTGTTTCAATCCCTAATGAGTTATGGATCAATTTAATCAATTGAAATAAACTATTAATCGTAATTAGTTTTCCATCATACACTCCAACTTCACCACGATGACATTATAAAGGTACTGAATATGCCCGAACATAAATATCCAAAAATAGTTCCTATGGAAATCATAGTTAAGAAATTATCATGGTTCAAAGATATCCTTGTAATGGCGGTACAGTGGACATCAGAGTACTTACCAAATTAAATAATATTACCTGATTAAAAATTGGGAGGTAAGGAAAGACCTGGTAACCCATGCGAGTTACATGACAACTTGTACGCAAGACTGGATTTTGACAGGCGAAACTACATTGAGTGCTCTAATATGACAGCCTATTAGGTGCCTCTGGTCTTGAGGGCGAGGGGTGAATTGCATCAGCTGAACTGCCAACCGTGGAGACAGTTCGTTCTCGAGAACTCATCGTCAACAAGACAAGAGGATCTTTAGCGTCCGCACCTGGCTTATTCGGCCTTATCAGACGTTTTGATTCTCAAAATGAGAGCTGACGCACCTCCGCATACGACGGAATGGTGTTACCGCCGCAGCATTGGTGTAGAGGCGCCCCAGCCCCTACGGGCCGAGGCAACCGCGCTCTCCGCTTGCCCATTCCGAGTGGTCGGGCCCGCATTGTGCATGGGGTCGTATGCCGCACGCAAAAGGCTAACAGGCCGAAATACATCAGCCTGTTCTCCCGCGTACTCCCTAGATAGAGAAGGCCACTCTATCTCCCTGAGTGTAAGAGCTCCCCTAGCGTAGAAACTCCCCGGCAGCGGGTTAGTTTAAAGTGGAATTGCTAACCAAACCCTAGATGAGCACCACCTACGGTAAAGTGTATCGAGCCTGCCATGCGCATTCGAGCGACGCTATAGGCTCAGCCTAGGTGGTCCGATCCTTCGCTTCCCCTTGGGTACCACGCCGGTCATACGCACAACAATTCCCAGTGTAACTAGGGCTGAATTTGGACTGTTAAGTTACCCCGTGGTACAGTCGGCCATACACCCTCCCCCGTCTATGCAGACAGGATCTAGTGCACTGGCCCTCGTGTGACTCTGCTAAGGCACCCGCCGCACATGCCGACCCTAGGCCGACACGAGTACAGCTTGTGCTTTAGAGAGGTTGCCACGCCGTCTGGGCTGCACCTTTATTTTGTGCCCGGATAACCCCCTTGCACCGAAGGGTTAGGAAAGGTCACAGGATAGAATGAAGGAACTCGGATTGAGAAAAAGGGCCGTGGATGAGAACACGAGGTGAGCCGTTTCGGGGTCTCGAGTCTCAAACCACACTATACCACCCATCGTCGTCTTAATTCCACACACAGGGGGCCACGACTCCCAGGGTGGGTAAAATAACCGTGGAGACAGGACCGTGCCATCATTTGCTCCTTATGTAACCTCAACGTCCCAGAGGACACTCTCCACTTCACATCCTGTTCTGAGATTTCCGCCAAACGTACTTTGGGAAACTGAAGCTGGATGTAGAATAAGTTATTGCAATTCTTAACGGAAGGGGTAACTGGAGGAAGATTGTGGTGTACCTCACTCACGCCTTGCAGTACCGAAAATACCTGGTTGACCACTTCAATTTGTAAAATCAAAGAATGTCATTCTCAAGTTACAAAAATAGGGATATAAATTTATAAATCAACTCGACAGACGGCTAAGGGAATTGTCAATTTAGCTTTTTGAAATATAAATTTAATGTAAATACTTTTGTTTAAAAAAAACTTTCATTCATTCACTCATTAAATAATATTACAGAATGGGTGAGCTTCCTTAAGACGATTCAAAATTTAAATAACCTACCATGGCGCCGAGAAATTCTAGAGGGAGTAAGGAAAAGAAAAACATACCCTCTAAATTGGGAGTTACATTTTGATTTAAAATATAAAAGCTACGAGCTGGCAAAGCTCCCATGGTCATACTTACAATGGATAATGGCAGTAAGAAGCCAAACTCTGAAACTCGAGCAACAACCATACAAGGAGATAGAGTTGGGGTGTCATTGTGTAATGACCAGTACGTGGTAGAAGATCTGATTCATTTTCTCGGGGTATGTCCCAAACTATCCGATTTAAGAATGGACTATTTTCGCCTTGATCCCAAAAAATGATGAATGTATAAATGGGGAAAATTGGGTAGTGAGTGGCGTTACTGCAGAGCAGCTTACAATCTGTTGGCCAAAATAGTATAAGGGTAATTTGCATGTATATATGTATATATATATATATATATATATATATATATATATATATATATGTCGGGAATTCATCCGTTGGGCTATGATCCCACTCATCCTCGGAGATCTGGCCCTCTTCTAAGTCGGACATAATAACAAACAAGACTATTTAACAATTATAATTTTATTTAGTAAAAGATCAAGGCACGGATGCACTCCCCACTGGCACGAATAAAATGTTACTGTAACATACTGGAGGTTCTTATTGCTTCTGCCCCCGCAAAAGTATAGAGCGCACTCCATGGTCTTTCTAAAAACTACCTCCGCGGTTAATTTAGATTCTATACCAGTGGGGAGCGTTCAAGACGACACAATGTGTTTGCCTTTCAGGAAGTAATAACTTTATAATAATAATAAATAATAATTAATCAACTTTACAAAAATGTGATAAGTAGAAAACATAAACATTATAAACATTAATCATTGGGTTTCTTCTCTATCACCGACATATATATATGTATATATATATGTTTTACATTGGTATAAAGTGTAAAATGTGTAAAAGAATTTAGTAAATGTTTAAAAAGGAATAATATGATTTATGTACAATTGTAAGTTAGCCATAAAGTCATTAATAGTTTAATATTATTCTGTCAATGAAAGATTAACTGTAATGTAATACTATTTGTTTAAAAGAGAATTATTTAATTTAATTATTAAATAAAAGAAATGTAATAGGTCGCAAGGTCAACTCACCCACAACGGTTTGCACAACCAGTGGTAATGCATGTCTTTCCTTTTGTAAATAGATCATAATAACAACATTATTTAACACGATTGTAAATAACAAAGTCACTTTTCTATCTAAACTAGTATTACAATAAGCTTTCGATTTGTGACAATTACGGAAGAAGGCGAAGAGCTGAAAAGCTGTTATGAAATCTCCATTACGAACGGGGGGAAAAACAATAATTATAAAAAAAAAAACCGGAACGCATCTCATAAACCAAGATGAAGACAATGCTCCGACAAGAAATACATGGTAGGGATGAAAACTAAAAGATTCGAACGTCTTATACGGCGCTCCCGACATGCTAAACCCGCAAGACCGGCGAGTGTTGCAGAAGTGTTGGTTTTGCGCCCCGTTAGGTCAGACTTGCCACCAGTAATTTATGTATCAACGAGCTGATAAATTGTTAATTTTACAACAGTTTGTAAAGAAAAAGTGTCTTGAACAAATCGGAATAAATAATTAAATACATTGTTTTTTAGTTTGGTCGCTGCCAATTACCCAGTTTCGCTTGCTTTGGACAGACTGACACGTTTCATTAATTAACAATCATCGCAATCATCCATTGATGTTTGATGAACCATTTGTGTTTATTATATTTACAATTTGTTATGAAATCCTTTGTGAGTTCAGTGAGGTGATGATCATGTTGTTAGGCTGATTTAGGCGCGTTTCAACTAGTCACCCACTATGCCAATTTGTTAAGCTGTTTGATCTTCAGTAAGACGGACCAACCAGCACAAGAAGGAAACACTAACATGCGAATGCGGAGTTAACTCCATCGACCAGACCGTACAAAAAAGAAAATTAAGGAGAAAGACGAAAAATCGAATTACGAGACACACCTAATAGAAAACAACGAGAAACTATCGTCAAAAAAAATATGAAACTACTACACGGCGTATAAAAAGTACGACAAATGAACGTAACAAAACGTTACACAGCCCACCCACATCCACGCCCTACTAACTAAAATTTCACTCTACAAAAATCTCTGAAGATGGATAACTATCACACCGCTGACTCCCAGCAAAAATTCCACAATTTATTTTACATTAGCATAATCTGTGATTCTTTACACGAATATTAAAGGAATGCCAAGTCATCCGCGTACTGAGTGGTTATATATTCATATTATGATGGTAAAAACCAGCTTTAAATAATACATTAAAAAATTGTTTTTACAGAAGAATCGATTTTATAAAGTTTAGTAGGTGGTTCTAATTAAATGTACACAGTTTTTCACCCTGCTGTGTTATCCAATTTCAATATTCAAACATAAAATTCTTAAATTAAAATTTAAGATATAGGCAAATATTGATTGTTTCAAAAAATTTCCGTTTATAGAAACTTCCTTCATACAATAAGTTGGGAAACTTGTTTCAACTTTACTATGTAGTTTTGTTATTTATAGTTACCAATTATTCGTTTTTGAATAATTAAACGTAACTATAATGGAATATTTTTTGACAGGGCTGTGCAGTAACGAAAACGGAGCAGCTGTTCATTATCAAGGTAAGCATGTAAGCATTCTTACCAATTTCTTTTTTTAATCATGTTATCTTCAAAAGTATTTAAAAATATACAATTTGAAATATTCAATTTTTTATTGACGAGTACTATTAATCGTAGTTGTTCATAACAAAGGTTCTAAGTTTGAATCCAGCGGCATTCGAACCGGACATACTTGGGGCTTTCATTTTTTTATATACCGACACCCCAAGGACTGATATGACCTCTCCTGTTGCGAACTCTTGTAAGAAAACTATTTTGACGTTTCAATTTTCTATATTAAGAAATATTTTGAATTTCTTCAAGAATCATTTTCTGTTCAAACTCTGTATTCAACCGTTGTAAACATATTTGTATAAATTTTGCAAAATGCTTGGTAAATCACATTTACATAACGCTTCAATGTATAAATGCATGATCAGCTTTTATGAAAAACGTTTCAACACGAGTAAAATAATAAAAACCGCAGTCGTTTCGTATTATTCCAACTTTTATAAACTGTTCTTAGACGGAGTTAATTCTTGCGGAAAACGGTCTCATGTTTCTTTCAGAGATTTGGTTTGATTAAGTATGGCAGTCAACATCGCGTGCCTCTTCAAACGTTTCTGAGTTTTAGTAAATTGCAGTATCAACCGGGTTTAAAAAGCCTCCAAAGCACGCAAAGTTGGAGGGCACACAGTTAATATTGCCCGATCGTGTGATTTATATTTTTTCCACTTTTCAAATGTATATATTTGTACATGTAGTTTGGTCGGATTTTGATCGTTCTGTCTAAGATGGTTTTTCGGATAAGTAAATTTACGAAGTAACACACAACTGAAAATAGCAACTTGACAGGTATTCGTATGACAGAAATCAACAGAGACAAAATGTAAACAGAATCTTCAGATTGTTTATTTATCGTTCATGATCATTAAACATATAAAACGAAAATAGCTTATATTTATATTTATCTAAAATTATAATACAACATTGCTAATGGGGATATTTTTTCGTCAGATATGCTATGTCAGGAATCAGTAGTTTGGTAATTACGGTAGCTTCCTCGTCTGCTATTCATTTCTGCTTTTCTTCACATGTTACAAAATATCATTGAAATTGAAAAAATCAGAAACGCGTCGGACAAACTGAAACAGCAAGCAATACACCAGAAACCAATTTACGAAGTTATCACAATGAGATAGAAGGAACAGCTAAGAGGAAACAAACCCATCAATAACAATAGCGTAAAGTCGGAATGCCAGATGACAAAAAAGCGAAAATAGTCCAAACCAAATGATCGTAAACTACCAAGTTACATGTTCATCTTTCCGGGTGATTTTTAATAGAACAATAAACTTCTTGCTTTTTATCGGATAGTAAAACCTGAAAAAAAAATCAAATATGGTAATGACGAAAGTCACAGGCTAACAGAGGAAAACTAAAATAATCGGAATCAAACTATGTACCCGGCGAGAAAAGGACGCAACTGACGCGCTAAGATATGGTCACAAAAAGATCACTTTTTACATAACCCTATCTTTAATGCCGAGTTAGAAGAAATGTATGGAACGCTGGGAACCCGCATGAGACCCATTCATCAACCCAGAACGCCACAAGGAAAAATGTTGATGAAGAAGAAATTGACCAAGACGATTTCTTCGACGATGTTTGGAATATCGTGGTCAGGTAGAGAAAGAAGTAGAGTCTCTATGATCACTTGTCATTCTTTCGGCCTTTTTTAAGACCAACATCAGGGCGTGAATAAATATTATAACAATACATTATTACGTTAATTACAAGTTTTCTGGTTTGTTTTAACCTACAGCATCCTATTTCTCATATTAACATGACAGAATGAGGAATAAACCCCGACGACATCGACTACGAGGTCTCCAAGTACATGAGGTTGGTTAAGATGAAATTAAGATAAGTTTCTCCAGGTTTTTCTATAATAATGCAAAACTACATTAAACCAACAATTTCAAAAGTAAAATAGGTCTTTTGTAAAAAAAAATTTCGTTCGTTTTTTCCGTCATCCTGTAATGTTAATATGAGAACTAGGATGCTGTAAGTTAAAAAAAAACTTGTAATTAATGTAATAATATTACATTGTAATAATTATTCAGGCCCTAATGATAAAGGCCGAAAGCTTGGCAAGTGACCACAGGGTCTACTTTCTTCTCTACCTGACCAGAAACCAGATCCCAAACACACATGGAAAAATGTTACAAAAACCATTGTATAAACTGATATCTACTGTGATATGTGGTTTTGATATTTGCTATTTAAACATCAGCTAGATACACATTTTATTGCATGATATGCATTTTTGCTTCATACATTGCGAAAATTCAGGTTAGTTATGGTTTGAACTTGGTAGGTACAGTTATAGTTAGGGATGGCCTGGTGTTATTGAAAGTTAGGTTAGGGACGGGTTATAATGATTGAAGGTGAGGTTAATTGAGGGTTAGGGCGATTGAAGGTTAGTTTGATTCAAGATTAGGGACGGGTTGAGTTACGAAAGGTTTGGTTAGGGACTGGTTAATGTGGTCAAATTAGTGATGGATTAGGGTGATTGAAGGTTAGATTACGGACGGGTTAAGTTGATTGGAAATCAGGTTAGGGACGGGTTAGGATACAAAAAGTTAGTTTAGCGACAGTTTAGGATGTTTGGATTAGTAACAGGCTAAAGTGATTGAAGTTTAGGTTTGGAACGCTTTAGGTTATGTAGAGTTCAGTTAACTGATTTAGACTAAAATGATCAAAAACAAACTTGCTAGATAATCACAAGCCCAGCTGGACTCAACGAATAATTTAAAAAAATAGTTGTCTTAACTGATTTATATTTTAAAACAGAAAATCTGTGACAATCGTTGTACTCTAAATACGTGAAAATTTAATAGATGTGTTTTTAATTTTAAAGTGCTAAAATAGGTCCTTTAATTTATTTAAAAAACAAAATTTTACCTCGTCTGTATTTTTTATGTCCATTATACTCTATACAGTTAATATATAATGGCGAATTTAAGGGATTCTGCTTCAAACGTGTCCTTCTCAAAATTATAAGTTTCATAATGAATTGTGTTTTTTTGTAACCTGATATACACTGTAAAGTTATTCACACATAGATTCATTACATTTCCCAAAAATACTAATTATAAAAACTTAGTATTTTATGTGTAGAGATTAGTAACCGTTAATCGATATCGTGATATGCGGTCTGGTGTGATGTAGGTGTCAGAAAAACATTTTCTTTATCGTGCCAACGTTTCGATCTTTATTGAGATCATCGTCAGGGCTTGAGATTTACAAACAATGTTTACATTTAACAAATACATTTAGGATGTGGATAAGTGAATTTATACAATGCAAAATATATTTTATAATCAAACAAAGTATTTCTACTCACTCAAAATGTTTGTCTTTTGTGTAATTGTGCCATTCTTGCGTGTCGTGTTGAGAGTGCCAGTGAGATTTTGCTGTTTTATGTTTATATATGTTTGGTATTGAAGGGGTGGGGAAGGAAGTCGGTATATAAAAGACAATTTTGTGCANAAACATTGTTTGTAAATCCCAGGCCCTGAAGATGATCTCAATAAAGATCGAAACGTTGGCACGATAAAGAAAATGTTTTTCTGAAACCTACATAACACCCGACCGCATCTCACGATATCTGATTTACTATTAGTATTGTATTTTTAAACTATTGGTTTATAATATAATCAGTAGGGTTATTTTTTAACCTATTTATTTTTTGTGTTATTAGTTAAAAGAACATTTATACATTGAACATACTTATCTAATTAAATTATGACTGTATGGCCTTAAGTCCCTTGTAGATTTTAGATTTTTCTTTTTGCTTTATTAGCTGTACAAGTTGTACGATAATATAATACACGATGAACCATTTCTTCACCCAATAATATCTGTAATTTTTACAAACCCAACCCATCGTGAGTTGAAGAATAAATATTTAAATTTTAATGGTAGTATTAAAAACAAATTTATTTGGTTAATTTCGCTTTTATTTTCAATGAAGTGGAATTTTATTAATAACAAAAAACAGAGGATAAAGAAAATATTTGTGCGCGAACGAAAAATTTCGAATTAAATCTCAATTGGAAGAAAGAGGTTCCACTTAATTGGGCCCCGAAGCGAGCTTTGGGACGCGCTGTCAATATTTGCACATACACCCCATCTGTAATAACTTAATTTCCGACAATCTTGCCCGTCGTTTTCGGAATTAAAGAATTTTTCGTCGACTCAGCGCCTATGCAACTTTAGTAACAATAGAAAGTTATTACTTTAAGAAATTTTAAAAATTAGATTTTTTCCTCTATGTCTAATTTATTATCAAACATTGTAAATATTTCAAAATGCAGAGGTATTACTTATCTGTTTGCTATAAATTTCATAGCACGGCAGAAAACCCATATAGCAATTTTTGACGAAACAAATTACCCTTATTTGTTATACTTTTAATACCGTACGTTAGAGAGTATAAATCAAAAGTTACAATCTCAACCACTTCCCTCATCCTCGCTCAGGGTGCTCTAATACTCGCCAATTTATTTTCCACCCTCGGTCCAATTTGAAAGTTCCCCCACCTTCGGCAAAGATGCAATTCCTGTTCTGGACGGCGAATCGACTTTTATACTCTCCTTTCATTCTTTCGCCCTCTCTCGCTCTGCGTTTTTTTTTTCTCTTCCCGCCCCGAAGATTGAACCGTACCGGTGCCAAAGGGATTTGGATAACCCCAAATCCTGAGGGAGTAGATCCCTCGGCCAAGGTGCCCAACCTACCTGTCGATCCAGTTCCAAGTCAATGTTCAAAAACAATAGGGCACTGTGACATTTGTGAGAAACAACAGACCAGCCTAAAAAATCAGACTTTTTTTTCTTATTCGAGATAGAACAGGAAATCTATTCCATACTTCAACAGATATCGACCGTCCAAATCTTATATACGAAAGAACATGTGATAATGTCTCGCGTTGTAAATTATTAATGAAAGAATTTATT